TGCATGGCAGGCAAAGACAAACTCAATCTATACAAATCTTGGCAAGAAAACCCTGTTAAGTCAGAAACAACCTTGAAGGCACACAACAAGAATCAACGTGATGGAATAATTTGTTCCTTGCCTGAGAATGGAAACTGGGCATCTTCCTTTGTTCTCCCCTACTCCAACAGCCAATAGGGCAGCATCTGCCAGCAGTCCCTGGGATGCAAGCTAAAAGGACAAAGAGGTCCTGAGTCCCACAGCTCTGAAGTGAAACTATGCTGGCATTTTGTAGCAGTAAGGGGATTGGAGTGTGTGCATGGGCTAATGCCTTTCAAATGGCAAGAGGACCCAGGTTGGCCAGCCACAAAGTGCCTTTTTTCACTCCAGCAACAAAAACCTGTGTATCTGTGACAGCAGACCTTTGACACTAATAGCTTAGTAACATACTTCAAAAACAAAATGTGTAAACAAAAATTGAGTGCTTTTCTTCCAAATGTTTTCTTCTCCACAGACATCACTGTTAAAAAGTTAAACATCAATTTAAAATTGATTCAAGATTACGCTTAACCTATAATTTAATTAATATAGCATTCAGTTAATATGATACTGATGGTGATATTGACTAGGGAATATTATGTTGACTCTGTTATTGACTAAAGACTGTACTACTGACCAGGTCATTGACTCTCCCATAGATTACAGTACATTTTCCAATTGACCACAGATCATTTAGTGGTTTTCCACTGAATGTTGGCAATAAACTTTTTAAAAATACACCTGGGGAGCAGGTGCCACAAAGAACACTCCATGCAGTTCATGGACTGCATTTCTTTCTCTCTGTCAAGTTTAAATGGCTGCAAAGCAGTACTAAGGATTTCCAAAAACTTCTGTTTCACCTTTGGAGAAAAGGTGACATATAAATAAAGTAATACAATGCAATGTAATACATCGCACAATTGAAATATAGTTGTTTTTTTATGGGTGGCATTTAGAAGCTCATCTATAAACTATAGCTTATTAGCTTTGTGACTAAGATCTAGCACTGTCGACCTCACTACATCACTATACTCAAAGGCATTTATAGAATCAGATAGCCTTACTAAGAAAGCCAAAGAGACCATTCAGGTCCAGATTGTTACAAATGTTTATAAGGCCATTTTATAGAGTTGATGACATGTAGTGAAGCAATGACATGCAGTATTTTTTAACACAGAAAATTTTACTGAATGGGGTGAGGAATAACATGATGTTCCCTCCTTGTTTCTTTAGGAAAATAGGAGAGGGCTCCCATGCCTTTAATATTTGCATAGAAGAAGGAATTTCAGCAGGGGTTGTTTTTCATACAACCTTCTCCTGTTGAAATTTGCTCTTCCACATAACTAATAAATGTTTAGGAATCCTGTCCTACTTTTTGCCTGATGACTCTTCGTTTCATTTCAAGAATCCAACTGGAAGGAAACATGGATGTTACTTGAACCTAATCTCCCCTGGGAAGGCATTCCAAAAAGAGGGAGCCATTCCCGAGAAGGACCCCTCTCTAGCAGCCTTTAGATCAGTGGTTCTCAACCTGGGGTCCCCAGATGTTTTTGGCCTACAACTCCCAGAAATCCTAACAGCTGGTAAACTAGCTGGGATTTCTGGGAGTTGTAGGCCAAAAACATCTGGGGACCCCAGGTTGAGAACCACTGCTTTAGATGGAGAGTGTCCCAAATGCTTGAAGAAACCAGCTGTTCCACACTAGATCTTAACTCTCTCCCCCTGGTGTATATAAAGGAACTCAATATCTCAGGTAATCTGGACCAATGCCATGAAGGGCTGTAAAGGTCAAAACCAGGATTTTGAATCAGGCCCAAAAACTAACTGAGAGCCAGTGCAGCTGTTTCAGGAGTGGAATAGTATGTTCTCTTATATCCACTCCCATTAACAGCCTAGCAGCTGATCTTTGAACAAATCAAAGTTTCTGAATAATAATAATAATAATAATAATAATAATAATAATACTTCATTTATATCCCGCCACCATCTCCCCAATGGGGACTTGGGGCGGCTTACATGAGGCCAAGCACAATCAACAAATTACAGCAAAATAAACCAAAAACACATACAACAAACAACATCATAATTACACAAAACATATGAATACATTAACAATATAAGATTACAATAAACACAGTCACCATAATAATGGGCGGCTGTATGTTTGAGAAAATGATTTTAATAACTGATTAAAAACAGATTAAAAACCCGGGTGATATAAAGGGAGAAGCAGGTTATTTGCGGAGGGGGACTCATTAAAACAAGGATTGTGAAATCGAGCTGTCCCATGGGGGGGGGGGGGAGATGGACATATACTGAACCATTATCAAAGGCAGCCCCAAATGGAGCATGTTACAGTAGTCCAGGTGGGATGTAATCAAGGCACGTACCATAGTGGCCAAGTCAGATTTTTCCAGAATAGTCGCAGTTGGTACCCTAGTTTGCAAAGGCGATCCTGGTAACCTCTACTACCTGGGCTTCCAAGTTTAAAGAGGAATCCTGAATCGCCCCAAACTGTGAATCTGAGCTTTCAAGGGGAGTGTAACCCCGTCCAGCTCCGGTTGTAACCCTATTCCCGGATCCATTCTATGTGAGACCAGTAGTACCTCCGTCTTATCTGGATTCAGTTTCAGTTTGTTTACCTTCATCCAGCCCGTTATTGCCTCCAGGCAGTAATGACGGGCATGAACTGTTGCTTCTTGTTGTGCAAGTTCAAATCTTATATTCTTGAGTAAACATAGGGAATTTTATCTTACCCTACTGTGTTCTTGTGAGAAAGCTCTCTGTTCTGATGTAGCTCAACAGTGACCCCCTAGGGCTTCTATGTTAACAGCACTCTGCTGGGAAATCCGAATTGGCAAAATCTTACCTTTTGTTGCCCAATACACACTGAAAACCTAAGTTCTTTACCTTAATGACCAGCTCTTTTTGACCACCTCTTAAATCTGAATGTGGAATCATTAAGAAAGTGGATCCAGGCACTAAATAATTTTACTATTTGCTGAGATCAGAACTAGAGAGTTTTTACACTACTCAGCAAAACAAAAATGTTGGTTAAGAGGCCAAATTTCCTCTGATCTCAAATTCCCATAGATATGTGACTTTGTTTTCAGTTTCTGTCTTCCTAACAATATCAAAATAAGGATACAAAAGATATTGTCCCTTAGCCTGTCTTTTCTGCAAGTAACTCTGCACACGTTATGAAACATTTTATTTAGGTAGCATGTCACTAGCTAAGTTAGATTGGCATTGAATTTAATTTGGAATTCCATATCTGTGGTTGTTCTTCCTACCCTGCTGTAAACTTTTCCCAAGGTCTAAAAACTCCCTTTTATATCCATTTAGTTGAATTGTTTTAAAATACAATTTCTCACTTAAACCTTCCCTACCTGCAGGACTACATGGTTGCTATGCTGTCCTTTCTGTTTAGATTGTACAAGCTTTTAAGTTTTGTGTTTTGTGAGCTTTGGGCAAATAACCTATAATACTTCTTTTTAATCTTTCTTTTTTCCTACTGTTACATTGATAGTAATTGAGCTGAGTCTTTCCAAGCATTTGAACAGCCTGGAGTGTTCAGTCAGGATCAACCAATAGTGACATCTTATTGGTAATTCTTTTTAATGAGTCCTACTGAAGGAAGCGTTCTCTTCTCCAAAAAAATTAACCTCTCATCCAAACATCTAAGAATTGCAAAGAAAGGCTTAGATTTCAACCATTAATCAATTACATGATATCAGAATTATGATAAACTAAATATCTAAAACCTTATCTCCCACGTTTTATAAACATAAATAATATATTTAGGTTTATTAAGTTTATCCCTGGCTGATACTGGAAATATCTGTAAAAGAAATGGCCATATATAGTCATGTATAAGTTGACTTCAAAATAAGCCAAAGTCAGGCCCAAAATTATGGATTTTGAGATGACCTATGGATAGATAAAGGATCACTCCACAGAGAGAGGAAAGCGCCAGTGCCATCTCAGGAGGCCAGCCACCCATCTGGTCACCAATGCCACTATTTTCTCAACTAACCCTTCAAAAGGCAGAAGCAGTGGCAGAGAGAGTAGCAGGGAGTCAGTGTTTTATTTTTTTTAAGGTTCTCCCAAGAAGAACTAAGCTCTTGCTTTTCATCACTTTTGTAATTAGTCAGCCAGGCTATCCTTGGTTGTGTGAACATATGCTTCTCCCAATGTCCAAGAGTAATCTAGGAATTAGTGATTTTTTATTCAATAGCAATGGAATTATTCTTTGTTTATTTTTATGATATGAGAGAAGGGAAATAAGGAGACTTTCACCATCTAAATTTCTCCCTTCAGCAGTATTACCACAAGGGAAAATAACATTGAAGAGGACTTGGGTAATATTTTGGTTTATTTTTATTTTCAATGATCTAAGGACACTTTTTGGGAGGATAATAGAAAAGAAAATATTATCACACACCCAGCTCCAAATGGATGATCTCTTAAATCACAGGCAATGCATGAATGTGCTTAGTAATCTGACCTTTGTTATTTAAATGAACAATTCTTGGGATGTACCCTTTATTCAAGTGTCCACTCAAAGCTATTCTTCTCACGATGGAAGCTGTCATTGGTGTCAACAGTTTCTTACAGCTTACCTTGAGAGATGAATAGGGGCTTTAGAGGCTGATTTTCATTGGTGCCATAAGCTGGGGAGAAAATGTTAATGTATGTTCCTCATGATTTTGATTTTGCTTTGCTTCCATGTAAATAACAGAAGCCAGACACATTAAATGTTGTGTATATAATATTTAGTCCTGAGCCTGAAAGACATTTCTGCGTTGTGGTCTAGTCTGGTTCTGAATACACAAGAACCAAGACTACATGTAAATGATATTGTGTTCCCATCCAATGGGGGTGTGCACATCAACATATATTAATATAACACAAGCAGATAGAAAAAGACAAGGTTGAGTGAAACAATGATGGACAAAATTTGTGGAATGGACACAAATTACCTCAGGTAATCTCTGCGGCAGAGAATGAGATTTGCCTTTGTGTAAAGTGTTGATCCGACTTCTCCCAGGCGGCAGTCACAACAGGCACACTTTAAACAATCTTCATGCCAGTACTTATCCAAGGCCTTCAGGAGGTATCGGTCCTTGATTTTACGGTTGCAGCCAGCACAACCCTTTTGCTTCCCCTTCGGTTGTACGGATAACATTGGCACGCCTGTAAACAAGAAATATATCAATGAGAACATGACTAAAAACATGACTCTGTTGTTTAATACATGTTTAATACTCTGCTGATGATTTCTTGGTTTTGAGATTCACTCATTGTGTTTCAAATCAGGTTATTAGTTGGGCCTTTTGTTTTTTGTATTCTGTAAGCTATTTTAAGCAGAAGGAACAGAGCTTGGAAAATTTACTTTCTACAACCCCCAGAACCTCCTAATTTGGTCATATGGATAGATGATCAATTAATAATATTCGACCAATGAGCTAGATGGCATGCCAGTGCTGGCTGCACTTATGAATGCTAACTGGTGGACCTCTGTTAATAATTGAAGCTGCTTCTGTATGTAGTTTAACTTGATGAAGTAATAAGTCCTTTCATTATGGCATCAGAAAAAAAATACTACCTGGGTATTATATACATTTTTTCCCCCTGGGACCACCAAAGACCTCTCTTGTCCATAAACAAAGCTACAATGCCAAGAGTATTCAGTGATTCCATAAATATTTGTAATGCAATGATATCACTTCAATGGATCTCCAAGGCAGTAAGTATGCCAACAGCCTGGTACAGAGTCTGCACTGATCTTCAGTTTTGAAGGGTAAAGGCAGGATGATAGTATTCTTGCCCCAGTACAAGTACTCTACAATCCTCTTATATTAGACAGGCCTAACATTTTTCCCCCCAAAGACTTTTGTACCCCATTAAGTTCTCAAGCCTAGGAATAAAAGAGTGAAGGAAGAATGCATCCATGGTACTTATGTGATAATGAATGAAGATTCACTTTAAAGAGGGGTAATTAAGTTCCCACATGTTCCAAATGCACTTTGAAACAAAGCAGACTATCCAAAGGGTCTGATGTTTCCAGCCCTTGAAAACAAAATCCACATCAACACCCCTGTTTGACCTAGGATGAGGAAAGAAAGGAATGATTTTTAGCAGGATGATAGAGGGAAAACTCTCTTGCGAAGTTGAAGCACAGAGTTTTTTTAGGCCAAAAGCTAGAAGAAAATATATAATGGAATTATTAACAGCCCCTTAACCATAGTGGTTCTAGTTAATGCTGCTATAGCAAGTGACATTTTCTGCTTTCCTTAAAAGCAAGGGTGACCTGAGGGTAGCAAATGCTCAACACATAAAACCCACCACTCTTACAGTAATAATTGCTTTGTCAGAACTGCAAGCGGACAACAACAGCACTTAAGACACTTCAAGACAAACAGGGAGGTATTGATCCATTCGTTATCAAAATGGACTTTGTACTATGGAGACAGGTCAAGTAACATTCAAAAACCCTTGAGGCTTAAAGAGCCCTTCTCGCTGAGCCTGCCAGAGTCACAAAACCCACTTCCAGTGTTAATGCCAGCAACTTTTGACATCTTTTTAAAAAAGAAATAAGGCTTGCCAAATTCATATTAGCAAGTCAAAATGCAACCCTGTTCTCAAAAAGAAGGCACACAATCAATAGTGCCATTCAAAACATATCACGGGTTTAAAATACATGGTTGCATGGACAGGCATTACATAAGATCTTTCTTGCACAATTTTCTTCATTTAGTTGAAATGTTTATAAATTTCCACTCCATCCTGTTTATAAAATTGCCACCATACCCCATGGGGTACTCCATTTTAAATGTAGACTTGCAAAATAAAGCAACAGAGCAATGAAACAAATGACAACAAAGACATCAAAACTTCCTACATTAAAATAGAAGTGGAGTGATGTTAAGAAATAATAAATGGGTTGTTGTAGGTTTTTTCGGGCTATATGGCCATGGTATAGAAAGCCTCTAGATCATGGCCATATAGCCCGAAAAAACCTACAACAACCCAGTGATTCCGGCCATGAAAGCCTTTGACAATAATAAATGGATTGCTGATTTTAATACTGCTGTTTACTATTTTCACCTTTAAGGAAGAATATGACCAATCAGGGCTCCATAGGGAACAGGCTGCATAACTTGGGGTGTTACTTTAAAAAAGGCCCTATTTCATTTACACAGGAAAAAACTTTCCAGAACCTTTAATTAAGATGATAAATGTCAGTCCAACTCAAATGAGAGGAGAAGTCTTAGATTGGCCCAAACTATTTAGGACTTACCTATTTAGGTAAGAATTATCACTCTACCAAGCGACACTACAACTATGAATTGGGCTCAGGAACATGCTGGAAATAAATTAAATAAGCTGGTGTTCTGGACTTTGTCAAATGCAACTACCTGGGTGATTCGATATATACTAGCTATAGTTTCTGAAAATGTTTAATCCATTCTGCCACAGAGCACATTGCATTAATTGAAATGAGATATGACTATGGCATTGTGACCAGATCTGCCACAGTGGTTTGTTACACTTGTATCCTGTCTGTATTCTTTAAAAAGTCAGAGCTGCATACTATTCTTTTTTATTCTGTAGGTTAGATGACTTGACATCATTCTCAGGCAGTGAACTTCATGGCTGTACAAAGAGCTGAACCCAGCTCATTACTAATGGAGACCATCACTCTTTTTCTTGAAGTGCATTGCCCTTGTCTTATTATGGTTCATAGTTGCTTCTTGTTAACTGTTATCAAATCAACTTCTACTTATAGTGATACCATGAATGAAAGATCTCTAAGTCACTCTATCATCAGGGCTGTGGTTTCTTTGATTGAGCCTAGCCACCTGTATTGCATTCTTCCTCTTTTCCTACTGCCTTCTACTTTGACAAACATTGTCTTTTCTAGTGAGTCATTTCTTTCCAATTTAGGACTTTATTTAGGGTGCCACTTCCATGCTCTTAGGAAATGAAGCTCCACGGAAGCCATGACATGATGTAAGGGCACTTCCGGTGGGACTCCATGGCGTTTTGTTTTCTAAGCACAATGGAGCCCAAAGACCACCTTCAGGAGTCTAATATTACCCAATTCTAAATGGGGGGAAGTGGGGAGAAGACAGGGAAAGGCATAGAAAGGATGTGAGATGACTAGCCATCCCAGAAGACTGGGAAAGACTATAGGGAATGGGCTAAGACAGTTCCGTCTTCTTTCTCCCCACTCATCTGATGATGTCTTGACTTCTAGGGAGAGTTCAGACTTGAATTGGTATAGGACCCATTTATTTGTCTTTTTGACGGTCCATGGCATCTGCAGAACTCTCCCCCAGCATATTTCAAATGTGATTCTCTTCCTACAGCTTTCATCATGGTGCAGCTTTCACAACCATACAAATAAATGGCAAATATGATGGCATGGAATCCTGACCTTAGTGTACAATGATATATTGCTGCACACTGTGGTATGCAAAGATATAGATGACTTTGGGTATGTAATGTATATTTAGGCATGATCTCAAGTAAATGTAGTTTAAAAGTTTCACTGAAATCAATAGAAGTTATTATCAAATCAGCTTGGAAATGACTCAGAAGTCCATTTGCATTTGAGCATTTAAATATTCAATAATTTTAGTCTAGCTAATAAAACCAACAATCCATTTTGCACAAAGAATGGTCTTCAATTAGATGGTCTGCTGGGTATCTTCCAACTCTAACAATTCCTGCATGAGACTAATAGTGCCATGGAAAATATTGATACCAGCTTTGAGGGTTGGATGAATAGAATCAGGTCTCAAGGCTGGGACAGGGCCTTCTCTCTTAAGGACCTAATCACATAAGGAATGTTTAGTGTCCTAGGATGCTGCTTCCCCAATTGAGCGAAGGAGACCCACGCTGCCCATCACATGTTGTAACCTCACTTCTGGCGAGGCTCTGTTTATCAACTCGGGGCAGCATCATCCTAGGATGCTGTGCCGCCTACACAGGAGACTCTCTGCATTCTATCTGGAACAACAGGGCTACTGCAGGAACAAGCCATCCAGTGATGCTTCCCCATGTGATGGTGAAGTGTCTCTGCTGGCTGGGAGGGGTATGGGGCACTGGGATTGCCCTGCTGCCCTGCCAATTTGCCATGGAGGCTGGTCAATTGGCATGGGGGACCTCATCAATGTGATGAGGTCCTAAGTTTGTGTGTTGTCACATATGAAGAGAAATCACTTTCTTAATTTCTCAATGCTTGCAGAGAACAATTATGGCCCTTTCACACTATATAATCATAGCACTATGGTTCTACTTTAACTTCCATGGTTCTATCCTATGGAATCCATGGGTTAAGGGAATGAAACCAATGTCATATTGGCCATTGCATAACACTCGTACTACTATATAACATTGGCTGAACTGTATATGGAGAAAATCTCAAAAGCATCCTTATGTTTTTATTATTTGAACTTCTTTACGGCAGATCTTTATGGTATGCAACGGAGACAGGAAGGCTCGCTGTTCCAAAGTATTAACCTCTTTCCTTTAACCTCAGGCAGAGATAGGTAATATGCAAGCTTCAAGAAGTAGTTAATCACAACTCCCATGTTCCCTAGCCAGTATAACCAATGGCAGAGGAATGGGAGTTTTAATCCAATGACATCTGGAATAAACAATCTCTGTTGAAAGACAATCAGATACATGTAGTTAATGCATTCTAAATCCAACGCAAAGTGCCTCAGCAGCCCACGGGGCCCAAAGCAGGGACCAGCCTGTGACTATGGTGGCCTTTAGACAGCGCTGGGAGAGGGAGCTTCCCCAGAACAGATGAGCATTCTAAATCTGTCATGTGAAATTCCATGTTGCTTCACCATTTGCTGCTTTTTACCAGAATCATATAGTGAAAATGCAAAATTTGATGATTTTTCTGTTGTATAAAATCCAGATTATCTGCTTTGAACTGGATTATATGGAAGCGTGGGCTCTGATAATCCAGTTCAAAGCAGATAATGTGGATTATCTGCCTTGATATTCTGGATTATATAGCTGTGTGGAAGGGCTCCTATTTGAGTGGAATTTGTTCTGTTTCCATAATGTGAATCAAGATTTTGACTGGGGTTTTGTGTCCTCTGAAGATGTCAGCCACAGATGCAAGTGAAATGGCAGGATACAATGTTGATAGAACGCAGCCATACAGTCTG